ATGGTCCTCCATGAATATGTGTTGGGAGATCAGATTATCCCTAGGTCAGACGGCCTTGAAATTCTCTCCTAACATGCTATACTCCTTCATGGCATTTACTGAAAGGTGCAGTTAGACATCTGCTGGCTTGTTGGCTATCTGTCTGCCCCTGCATTCAGTAGTAAGCTTCATGAGCACCTGGCCCCAGGTCTCTTTCTCTGGATCCTAATTGGGTGCCTGATGCCTGGTTGACAGGTGATGATCAATAAGTAGTTATTGAATGAATGATTCCTTCCCTCTCATTCATCTGGATCAAGGAATCACAAATCACAGGGGCTAAATGGGACCAGATCTCTATGCCCTTGAACTGCAAACTTGATCTTGAGTGTTAAGGACTTTGGGGATTCCACAGGCTGATTGGGATTTATGAATCTGTGCTTCAAAGAAAGCTATGCACTAAACCACCCCTGACCTTGACCTAGAGCTTTGATCTTATTAGTGGCAAGAGACCTCTTTGAATGTGTTTCTCCAGCTGTTCCAAGACCTTTCCCTGAAAGTTATAAAAATAAAATAAGATTTTAGGCGTCTGGACTTGAAAACGATGTTTATCTTCCTCCCACCTCTTGAAGTCTAGCTCTCTTTGCATATTGCCGTGAAAGACTAATGAGTTGAGTTAGGTAAGATCACGGGAAGTTTGTAAGTTGATTGGGGTGGCCAGCAGAACCTGCAAACTCTCCTTAGACTATTAAGCTGAGTCGGAAAAGGAGTTCAGGCTGGATTCTCACTTTGTGTCAAAACAACCAATCAGCTTGATGAAAGCAGACCATTTTATTAATTTGGAAAAAAAAAAAACCACTCATATGGCAATCACGTTCTTGTGTGCCTGCAGTGTGCTACATTATCTAGAGAAATGTGTGGGCATACTCAAGCTCTGCACTCCGCCATAGGTAGCCATATACATGGTTACCAATCACTGAAATGTGGCTGAGGGATCAAAAATTTAATACTGATTGCAGTTTATTTAAACGTACATAACTGTATGTGGTTACCGATCCAAATGGCCAGTGCAGAGTGACAAATGACCATGGCAGCTGAGGCCAGGCCTTCCACTTGCTGCTCATAGCTGCAAACACCTCTAGACCACAGTGGCCTCATGTGAAAACTGGAAAGCTTGATAGTCATTACCACACACAGGGCAAATGTGAGGATTCCCATCAGAGCAACGAGAGCAGAGGGCACTGAGCCTGACTGCTCCTGAGTCTTCTGTAGACTTGGGCTGGATGACCAGACTGAGGAATCACCATAAGGCCTCTATAGCCCCTTATTCAGCACTCACACTGCGCCCCCCGCTGTGTGTATCCTGGAGTTCTTAGGAAGGAGGTATTTCATCTTCATTTTCTATGCAGGGCTGCTGAGGCAGAGGCAGGATTTAACTGGTTTCCACATGGTCCCTGGATACTCATAAACTTCAGTGCAGATGTGGAAACTTCACATAGTCTGGGTCATGGCACCTAATCAACTGAATATTCCTGCCCCCTCTGGAAGGACTGAGTCGTTCAGTGTGTTGAAGTCATTTGGCTCTAGTCTGAAAGAGGAAGGAAGTTTATCAAGAATAAAAGTACTTAAAAGGAGAGAGGGAGGGAGAGAGGGAGGGAGGGAGGGAGGGAGGGAGAGAGAGAGAGAGAGAGAGAGAGAGAGAGAGAAAGCCCATTCCAACCCTCCTGAGCTGAGCTTGCCACAAGGTAATGCAAACCTTTATGACATGCTGTGACTCATAGGCCCAGGGGTGACATATCTCTGCAGCAAATCAGTTCCACTGATAATCAAGATTAGGCCATTTTATTAGCATGAACTAAAATCCTAACTTATTACACACAAAGTATTAAAGCCTCATATTTCATTTCACTGGTAGGGTGAGGCTTCGTTTCGTTTTACCTCTGATTTCCTGTTTATTACTTCATCATCTTTTCATCCCAGTAGTACTGCTTATAAATTGGAAAAAAGTTTTGTTATCTTTCTTTTAATGAATAATGTAGAAAGTTATGTTTCTGCTCATCCAGCCTCATTGCCTGGGCATTTTCTGTCTCTCTTTCCTTTCTTTGTTTTAGAGACAGGTTTGTTTTTATTTTTGTTTGTTTGAGACAGGGTCTTCCTGTAGCCCCAGGTGGCCTGGAATTCACTATGTACACCAGGCTGGCCTCAGAGTCATGGAGATCCAACTGCTGGCTCTTTGGAGAGGCTCTGGAGCAAGCCAGGCTTGAACCCTGCCAGCCAAGCAGCATATGGTCTAAGCTGTAAACAGAGCCAGAGTGTGAAGAATCAAGAGTTTTCAGCCTGGAAAGTTGTCTTCATTCCCAGGTTCTCTTCGTGATGAGAGCTTGACAGCTGTTATGGACTGCTGGGGGTGGTGTATGCCTGTTTGTATACATCTGGAAGTGGGTGCCGGTGCTTGTACTGGCATGTGAGATTGGGTAGAGATTGGGTGTCGTCTATTCCTCTCCACCTTATTCCCTTGGGACAGAGTCTCACGTTGAACCTGAAGCTTGAGCTGTTTAGGCATGCCTCTGTGATTTTCTTGTCCCCCGATTCCCAGTGCTGTAGCTACAGGTGTATGTAGCCACATGTATTTTTTACAAGGGTTCTGGGGATTTGAACTCAGGTTCTTATGCTTGAACAGCAAGTGCTTTACCCACTAAGCCTTTTCCTCAGCCCTAAAATGAAGTCTTTTTAGAGCTGGAGAAACTGTTCAATGTCGAGTGGGTTCAATACTTTGCTACAGATCTCATAGGATCCAGGAAGAGCTAGGACTCTAACATTCATCCTCTACTGAGCCTGTAAAACCAAGTTGTTCCTTTTGCAGGGCTGAGTGCTTAAGTCTCAATCATGTCTATGACTGTCTCCCTCTACCCATCTGAGCCTGTCATTTTGCTGAGTTGGACACCATTCCCCACTCTGGCTTTAAGAGGGGAGTGCCTGTGAGTCTTTCAAACTCTTAGGCTTTGCTGCAACTCCCTTGTAGGACTGGGGTTTCATTCAGGAACTTACACCCTGAAATGGTATCTGTGAAGCCAGTGGGGCATGGGCTGCAGAAGAGGGGGCAGAAGCCAACCTGTCTTTACTTTGGTGCTCCTGTTAATCTGTGTATCAGCCAATGCCTCCGAAATACACAAAAGAGCCTCTCTTTGAATAGTAGTTGCCACTTGGCCCAAATGCATTTCTTCAGGAACCTGTTTGGCCACATCTTTTTGGAGTATTGGGGCAGCCAAGTTGGAATTAAAAAGTCAGACATGCCTTCAGAGAAGTTCCCCCACATTGATCACTAAGATTTCTTTTAACTCCTGAGATCTGAGGAGTCTCCTCCTTGCCCCCACAGTCAGCCCTGGACCCTGGTTATTATGGAATTACCCCATTCTTGTGGCTGCCAGGCTGGCTGCCAAGAAGGACAATCACTGCCCACATGCCAGCTGCCCCAGGCGGTCACTGAGGTCTGGAATGGAGCCACGTTGGAGTTATTTCACCCGGGTTGTCCCTTGCCTCACCCTCACAGGCACTTCCTGTCCCTCTGGGCTCCAGGGTCTGGGAACGCCCTTAGGGAATGCAGAGGGGCACTGGCCTGGTGCTCTAACAAACACTCTAAAGGCTGCTGTTTGTCCAGTGCTGAGACCCAACGCTGAGCACTTTGTAATCATTCTCTCATTTAATCATTAAGGCAACCCCTGTCATCACACTGCATACTTAGGAAGTTCATTTAAGTTGAGAAAAACCTACTATGACCTACTATGACAAGCACTCTATGGGGGAGACATGGATAACAAAATTAATAAAATATAGTCCTGACCTTCAAGGAGTCACATTTTTTTGGGGGGGGG